TATCAGTGTGAGTTTTGCGCTCATCTCTGTATGGCTTATCTGCTGTGTCCAGAGCCGTCTTTAATATTAGCCATACTAACCTAGTGTAACGTTTATGGTTCTATTTGTTTTGTCTTGTTATCCTTTTTCAAAATGTGTAATACCGTTGGCTTCTTAATATTGGAATGGGCCAGGTGCAGTGGGCTCATGCCTGTAATCCCACCACTTTGGGAGCCAAGGTGGGAGCAGATACTGGAGGTCGAGGAGTTTGAGACCAGCCTGACCCAAAATGGAGGAAACCCCAGCTCTACTAAAAATACCAAATTAGCAGATGTGGTGGCCATGTCTGTGAATCCCAGCCTTCAGGAAGCGTGAGGCAGGAGAATCACAGTCTGAACCTGGAAGGCAGAGGTTTGGTGAGCTGAGGTCATGCCATTGCACTCCAATGCCTGGCCAACAAGAAGCGAAATTCCATCTAAAAAATATATAATATATATATAATATACACACACACACACAGACGGGCAACTATGAATATGAAGTTTGTTTTTTTTTAATAATTTTCAACTGTCTTAATATAACAATCCCAGTGGAATATGTGGCATTTTAAAGGGTGGGATTGATTGGGTAAGGATAAAAGAATATATAAGGAAGTTAGGAAAACATAAATTAGCTTGAGGAGTCAAGAGCAAGGAAAATATCTGGGGCCATAAGACCTGTTCACTTATGACTAAAGTGAAAAGTGAAACACTATCATTTTTTTTTTATAGTTTTCAATGTCTAGTTCTTGGAGGAATGCAAGTTTTCTGTTGCATGTAGCTTTTATACAAATTTATCAAATGGAATGGTGTATCAGGGTATAGTAATTAATGTGAGGTTTGGTATTGGATATACCATATTTTAAATTCTTGTTCTTTTGGTTTACTAGATTTGTGACCTTAGGAAAGTTACTTGTGAATCTCAGCGTTTTATATGTTGAAAGAGGAAACTGGCATAGTAGTAATTTTTATAAGGATTCAGTGAGCTAATGCCTACAGAGCAGTTAGCAAATGAGTTGATACATAGTAAAGACTCATAAATATTATCTTAAAAGTAGTCTTATTACTGTGATAATGGTGGTAATATGAAGATGTTTTATAAAGCATTACTCACTCAAGCTGATAGCAAAGCACTAAAGTACCAGTCAGTGAAGACTCTTCTAAATGCAGCCAAGATACTGTGATCCAAGAGACTACATTTGATGGCCCAGCTTGGTCCTAGAATAATACAGATTGTCGACATTAGTCACCAGTACCGATGGGATTATGCTGTACTCTGTACCCCTCAGATATGGTAGAAGAAGATTGAAGACCATTTTTCTTTTTTCTTTTTTTTTTTTTTTTGAGACAAGGTCTGGCTCTGTCGCCCAGGCTGGAGTGCAGTGGCGCAATCTCTGCTCACTGCAACCTGCAACTCCTGGGCTCAAGCCATTCTCCCACCTAAGCCTCCCAAGTAGCTGGTACTACAGGTGTGCACCACCACCCCAACTAATTTTTTTGTATTTTTTTTGTGGAGATAGGGTTTTGCCATGTTAGCCAAGCTGGTCTTGAACTCCTGATCTCAAGCAGTCTACTTGTCTTGGCCTACCAAAGTGCTGGAATGGCAGACGTGAGCCACCATGCCTGGCTGAGAATCATTTTTCTAAAAGCACAAGGCTATATAGAAGAAGCCCAGTAAGAGTAGTGATTCCCAGTATATATCATATTAGAGTCCTCCTGTGATTTGAGCACATACTACTGAAATTAGACATTCATTTACATTTCACTGTTAGGCAGTGTTCTGGGTGCTGAGGTATGACAGAGAATAAAAGAGGATGAAATCTTTGCTTCCATAGACCTTACATTCTAGTTGGTACAGATAGACAACATATAGACGATGGTAAGTACTATAAAGAAAAAAAAAAAAAAACGGGACTAGGAAAATCCATGGGGAGTGAGATGGTGTTATTTTATATAGGGTTGTCATGGAAGGCCTGACTTTATGAAGTGACATTAGAGGAAAATCCTAAAGGAAGTGAGGGAGTGAATCAGGAAGATATCAGGTTGAGGACCTTTTAAAGAAATATGAAAGGGAAAGTCAAGAGAGACAAGACAAAAAGAAAGGTCAAAAATTACTCTAACAGGTGTCTTTAAGACGTGGTCAGGAGACTTGACTAGAGTTTGTGAAGGTTGCTTGCCCAGCTGCTACCTCTGCTGAGTTGGAGGACAATTCAATTTAATCCTGCAACTCCCACATTGATGGTGAAATATTGTGAAATGTTGGCACAGATTTGTCTTTTCTGCAGATGTACAGGAGGAGAATTTTCCTTTTCCTGGATACGGGAGGAAGAAATACAGGGAAAGAGGGCAAGGGCTCACACTTAAGGGGAATATATTACTCTAGGTTATTTGACCTGAGCAACTTGAAGAATGGAGTTGGTATTTGCTTAGTGTTCTTTAGTAGGATGGAAAAGACTGCAAAGGAGTAGTTTTGAAGAGGAATGAGGAGACTCAGAATTCAGCTTTTGACTCATTAAATGCAAAAATATTTACTAAATGTCCAAATATAAATGTTGAGGAACAGCCAAGGAAATGTTGAGTAAAGTCAGTGTTTGGGATATATAAATCTAGATTTTAGGAAATAAGATAAGAAATATAAAT